TCATTAAAATACAAGCCTACAATACAAAGTTAATCACTTTTCATGTTTTGACAAGCATTGGGAAGATACAAGGTCAAGGTTATTTATATAGCACGTTTACAAACAGACACTGCTGCCCCAAAGTGCTGTACAGATACAGAGAAACAACATGAAATAACCATACAATACAACATAATAAAAGCGACACGAAAAAAGATTACACAACTCAGCTTGTATTAAAAAGCAAGTGCAAAAACATGAGTTTTTAAAAGTGATTTAAAACTCTCCATAGATGTAGCTGCTCTAATATTGAAAGGAAGAGCGTTCCAGAGCTTAGGACCTGCAACACAAAATGCTCTGTCCCCTCTGGTTTTCAGTCTGGACCTTGGACAGTTTAAAAGCAGCTGGTCAGTGGACCTAAGTGCTCTGACTGGCGTGTGCAGAGTCAACATGTCGGATAAATATGATGGAGCCAACCCATTTAGAGATTTAAAAACAAACAATAAGATCTTAAAATGGATTCTAAAAATGACAGGCAGCCAGTGGAGAGATGACAGTACCGGGGTGATGTGGTCTCTGCGCCTTATCCCTGTCATCAGGCGTGCAGCCGCATTTTGAACTAGTTGTAGTCGGCGAACTGAAGACTGATCAAGGCCATAGTACAATGAGTTACAATAGTCCAGGCGATTTGTTATTGCATGCACAACTTTTTCCAGTTGGTTGTGGGGCAGGTAGGGCTTGACCTTCCCTAGCAGTCTAAGCTGAAAAAAGCTTGTTTTAACCACTGAGCTGATTTGTTTATCGAGTTTAAAAGAACTGTCAATAAAAACACCAAGACTTTTTACTGACGGGCAGCAATTTGGCAGCATTTGTTCAAGAGTACTGTTAAAACCAGAGACATCGGGCTCCCCAAAAATTACAAGTTCAGTTTTTTTGTCATTTAGGTTTAAAAAATTCAATGACATCCAGTCTTTAACTTCTTGTAAACATTTTTTCAGAGCTTCAATAGAGTTTGTTTTGATATTCAAAGGTAGATATATTTGGATGTCATCTGCGAAACAATGAAAGGAAATATTGTGTTTTTGGAAGATTGATCCCAGGGGCAGCATATATAGAGAGAACAAGACTGGGCCTAAAATTGAGCCTTGAGGCACCCCGCTGTCAATTGGTGCTTTGTCTGAATAAAAAGGACCAAGGTTTACAGAAAAGGACCTATCTGTCAGATATGATTGAAACCACTTCAGAGCAGTGCCTTTAATGCCTGCACAGGACTCTAGTCTGGATAATAAAATATTATGGTTGACCGTATCAAATGCTGCCGTTAAATCTAAAAGCACTAGCATCGCAGAGCTACTAGAATCAGAAATTAAAAGAAGATCGTTAAAAACTTTTAAGAGAGCAGTTTCTGTACTGTGACAGGATCTAAAACCAGACTGAAATTTTTCAAAGATGTTGTTGGAATTTAGATGCAATTGAAGTTGGGCATATACCACTTTTTCTAAAACTTTACACAAAAATGGAAGCTTAGACACTGGCCTGTAGTTGGACAAAACAGAGGAGTCCAAATTATGCTTTTTCAGGAGGGGCTGCACGATGGCCTTTTTAAAAGCACCCGGAACATGCCCAGCTGAAAGTGACAAGTTTATCAAATTTAAAATACAAGGCCCAACAGTGTAAATTACATCTTTAAAAAGTTTGGCTGGAAGGCTGTCTGATGAACAGACCGAGGGTCTTAAACTTTGGACCATCTTTGACAGCTCAGAGAGAGATATTGGCATAAAATCTTCAAAAACAACTGAACATAAAGGTAAAATACTGGGATCTGGCGCAACACAAAGGGTTAAGGCCCGGATACTGGCCACTTTATCCATGAAGAATTTACAAAATCTGTCACACAGAAGGGCACTGGGAATGATGCCAGTATGCTCAGGGGGGTTGATTATCCTATTTAGAACATTAAAAAGAACATGAGGTTTGTGACAGTTGCTTTGTGCAAGGTTTGACATATACTGAGTCTTTGCAGCCTTAACAGCGTCTTGGTAGTTAGACAAACAGTCCCTTAACATCCCCAGAGATACATGAAGTTTGTCTTTTTTCCATTTTCTCTCAGCACGGCGACATTCCCTTCTGAGAGCACGAGTAGTGTCATTGTGCCATGGCTCTCCATTTAAATTAGAGCGCCTGAGCATAAACGGTGCTATTGAGTCAAGAATTTCTGTGCACGTTGAGTCAAATAGAGTAACCAGTTCATCAATGTCCATATTTGAACAAGAGGCACCCATGGACATGAAAGGAGAGTTATCGAACGCTGCAGCAAAAAGGGAAGCCGTAGATGGACTTATAGCGCGCCGCTGACGCATGGGGACGCACGCTTTACTTAGAGGGCGCGGCAGAGAAACAGAAAACAAGACAGGCATATGGTCAGAAATACCTGCATCAGAAATATTCTTTATGGACAGATTTAGGCCATGGGACAAGACCAGGTCTAAAATATGTCCCTTGTTATGAGTCGGGCAGTTCACAGACTGACTGAGGTTAAACGAATCTAAGATGTTTAAAAAGTCCTTGACCAAGGGCTTAGAAGTACAGCACACATGAATATTAAAATCACCAACAATTAAAAAATGATCATACTTAAGAGCCATGCCTGCCACGAACGCCGAAAAATCCTTTATAAAATCCTTATTGAATTTAGGAGGGCGGTAAATGAGCGCACATAATACTGTTAGATTGAGGTTTAGTTCGAAGAGTTGCAGCTCAAAGCTCTTGTATTGTTCACAAGGGGTTTTCTTACAGTTTAGCATGGTTTTAAAAACTGTCGCTAGACCCCCTCCTTTTCCCGTGGTTCGTGGAGAGCTAAAGAAAGAACATGCCGGTGGAAGAAGCTCTGAGAAGGGGAAACACTCACCTGGTTTAACCCACGTCTCTGAAAGAAGCATGCAGTCAAGCTCCCGGGATACAAAGAAGTCGTTTAATATAAAAGTCTTGTTAGACAAGGATCTAATATTGATCAGTGCCAACTGAAGAATAGTATCCTCCGTGCGCGAAGATTTGGCTCGAGCCACTGACCGAAGATTCATTAGATCCACGCCGCGTTTGGCCGCTCGGGAATGCCGGGGAACGTGCTCCTCCAACGGTGCGCGCAGCTGGTCCACAGTGATAACAGCTGATACGGCCCCTAGAGCGTGAGGTTTCAATATCACTTCAAAACAGTTTCTGTTATATATGCTCGTCTTTATCGCAGTTCTGTGTTTGTACTTCAGATATAAAGTCACAACTCTCATGGCATTGCATATGGTTACACACACACAAACATACACAAAAAGCGCAATCCCACAGTGATAGCAATCTCAAGCATTCAGACACTCCCTGCAACTCCTTTATACGCATCAGGTTACAAATGTGCTGAACCTCTTCTTCACCCTTAAACCCACCCCCTTTTCTCTTCCTGTGTCCAACTGCATTGTTGAGCATTCCAACTCATACATATCAAGGCTATCACAATGTCGTACACAGCCAGAGAGAGAGAGAGAGAGAGAGAGAGAGAGAGAGAGAGAGAGAGAGAGAGAGAGAGAGAGAGAGAGAGAGAGAGAGAGAGAGAGAGAGAGAGAGAGAGAGAGAGAGAGAGAGAGCTGTTCAACAAGATAGTCTAAACAAGAGCGCTCCTTCCATCGACTTTGTGTTTATGCAGTGAAGTCACTCATTCCAGTTAGGCTGACATGAAGGTTAAGGCCTTGTTGCGTTAGGGAGTTCTCCAGCTTTTCTCCTCCCTTAATTCCTTTGTCTTTCCTCTACAGCCTTATATACACGTGCCGTATATGTGGAATGGGTGTACAGTGCACACACACTCTCTTTCTTCCGTTCTCATTCATCATCTGGACAGCTGATACAGGCAAAATGCTAGTTACATTTTCTCCGTTCAATGCCTTGCGAATTCAATTAAGCTGATGATTGCTGAGTAGAGTCTTAGAGGGCCGAAGTAACACTCAAGTCACACACTTTGCACATGCAGCGCTAGCACAATGTACCAAAAAGAATCATGGTTTTACCATGCTAATGCTAACTTGCTAATTTAGCTGTACTCTTTAATGTTCCTCAGAGCACCATAATAATACCATTATGAACATAAATAAATACCATGATGAGCATTAAGTGCCATTATATAAAAATAAAAAATGTAAAAATTCATACGACCTCACTCATTTCTTCACTACAAACTTTTGCTAAATCGTACATATTTTACGAGTTGCTAAATTCTTATGAATTCATATGAATGACCTACCCCTGACCCCGTCCCTTAACCTACCCATCACAAATCGTATGAATTAGCCACCTTTTACTCACTCCTACGAATTGGCCGTGATATAGCGTTGGTAGGCCTACTTCTGTCCCTACAGACTTGTTTTTATTCCTGACACAAAGGAAATATGGCACTTCCTAACTAAGGTCTATTACCTGTGTTGTTGTATTGCCTGATGGACTTGTCACAAACTGTGAAACATTTGATAATTACATATGTAACTTTTGTTATGTAACAGCTTACATTCTGAGGAGTAAAAATGCAAGATTTTTTATCTACTTACGTCAGTCTTTCAGTGAGATCAAGCTTGGAATGCTGTAGTTCTGGAGCATGACATTTTCAGGGGTGTGAGACATTTGAAGCGTTTAAGACAGTGACAAGCTTATGAAGTCTTCTGAATGCCAAGAAAAAAAATCGATCTAAACAAAATGTAAGAAAAGAATATTCCACAGGTGTCGAGTATAAAACCAGATGCACTGGGTGAGAAAGCACTTTTATGCTAACTTCCTGACCAACCAGATTCTTACAGGTAAAATGTCTATTCTCCTTTTTTAAGAATGTATTCATTTTATCTAATGCATTTTAAAAAAATTAATTCTGCAAAAGAAATATTTTGTTAAAACGTGGTTAACAACTGAACAATGCTGGGCAAACCTTAAAAGATATGGTTTTAGTTTTTGTTACTGATACTTGAGTATTAGCTATAACACATGGGACAGGGACAGGATAATATGAAATTAGAAAGTCACAGACTAATGTAAGTAAAAAACTTAAATACCAAATGTGAGAGCTTTTTTGTTTTTGTAGTTTGTCTTTAGAGAAAGGCTTCTCTGAGTGAAAAATGCCTCCTCCTCATGAGCGCCATTACTACACGACGGATCATGATGTGGGTTCTCCCACTAATCCTCTGCCGTTCCTGGGTCAGGACTATAAGAAGCTGCTCCACCAATCTCTCCGTAGAAAAAAGCTGTACATTGATGAGTTGTTTCCTCCAAACAGCAGATCTATTGGCACTCTGGATAAAGAAACTGATGTGGACTACAAAAACATCAAGTGGAAAAGGCCATCAGTATGTAAACAATGTTCGTTAAAATAATAAATTATATCTCTCTCTTCATATGCATGGTATGAATATAAGGATACTTTGATCATTCTGTCTAAACAGGAATTAGTGTCTAAACCTTGCTTCACTGTTGATGGAATATCCAGGTTTGACTACAAACAAGGGTCCAAATTAGGTAAGTCTGGGTTTATTTAAATACAGTTCGGCTTAGGCTACATCATCTTAAATGAACAATGTGATTAAAAAAAATGCATGAACTGTAACGTTCATAAACTGTAACGTTTAAAGTCCCCATGAAATCTGTCTTCTGTTATTTATAAGCTCCAAAACACTCGCATTCGCACAGAAGATATAAGAGTTCAAAACTTAGTCTCTTACTTCTTCCATATGGGTCAATGATTTTGATAACATCACTCTGCTTCTCATAGATTTTGTGTCCAATCAAATGTTTCAGTGGAAATCATGTCATTTGTCATTGTCTGTTTCCTATAATTCATGTATGCATTAGTCAAACTCTATTTAGATATGCACATTTGTATTTGTGTTTAGGAAACTGTTGGTTTTTGGCTTCAATTGGGACTTTAACCTCGACGAAAGATATAATAAACCAAGTCATTCCAGCTGATCAGTCATTCAGGATCAATTATGCAGGGATATTTCACTTCAGGGTGAGCTGAATTAGATAATAAATTAATCTTTGAAGGAATCTTCCTATTTTTAGCCCTTTATCTTTCCCTCTCTGTAATTTATCTTACAGTTCTGGCGGTTTGGTAAATGGATTGATGTTGTCGTTGATGATCGACTTCCAACAATCGATGACGATCTCCTTTTTGTTCATTCAAAAACATCTAATGAGTTTTGGCCTGCTTTACTGGAGAAGGCTTATGCAAAGTAGGTGGCAGTAGATGCTTTGAAATAAACACTGAGTCAATTTAATTATTGTTTCTTGTCTCAAAAATATTGGTTGGTGAATGGATGCCTGACCTTTCCTTTGATTTGTCTCTGTGTCTTTGTGTGGATGAACATTTTAAAGTGTTCAGTTATAGTACATGTGTAAACATTGCATATTACGTCATATTCATTAAACCATGTCTGTGACGTTGTAGCATTTACATTGCACCATAAAATGGTTCTTGCCTTGACAGGGTGTGTGGATCTTATGCGGACCTGGATGGTGGATTCATATCTGAGGCCCTGATGGACTTCACTGGTGGGGTGCACATTCAGTTTGCGCTAAATGAAGCTCCTTCTTATCTGTGGAACATTATGTATCGTGCAGCCAAGTCAAAAACCCTTATGGGCTGTAGTACTTACCATGGGGTAAGACCTCACCTGCAGTAATCCTGGATCTATTTTTCTTTGACAAATATTGTTGGCATAAACCTTTATACACTGTCCAGACAAAAAAGTCGCTGTTTGGATTTAAATACACAAATGCTTAAAGTCCCTGTAAAGGCAATTCTAAAAAAAAAAATTCTAAACCCATTATAAATGTTAGAAATGTATTGCTAAAACATATTACAAAAACTGTGAACTGTGAATTACTGAATTGTGGAGTTAGACCGTTAAACAGTTTTTCACCATTGCTATTTTCCGGATTTTTTGGGCGGGGCTAAAACGGGGCTCGATGATGCACTAGAGCCCCTGAACTCGTAGACACGCCCCTACTTGATGACGCACTGAGGCTGGCTCCTCCCCTAACAATAGAGCACATTCGCATCAGTTCGGCGCTCAATCGTGCCTACAGTTTGCTAGCTAGCTATGCCTTCGACACGGAAATGCGTAGGCTACTACCTGGATGCGATCTGGATGCGCGGAGAGACGCTTCTGGGACGCTTCTGAGACGCGCCGCGTCGGCAGCTGGTGGACTTTAGAGCATTGACTATAATGGCCGCGATTAGCTCCGGCATCCGCGACGCTGACGTTCCGCGCCGCAGACAGATCCAGTGGATTTTAGGGGTAAAAGAAGTCACCAACGCTCCGCTGCTGAAACGTGTCTGAGACGCTTCCAGTGGACTTTGACGCCGAGCTAGGGACGCATCAAAAACGTGGCGCTGACGTTCCGCGCCGTAGACGGATCCAGTGGATTTTAGGGGTTAGATACGCGCCATCGTGTACACATAAATCTCTGACCCATCGTACGTCTTCTTCCTCGTCTAATTTCTGTCGCTCTACATACATCATCTGGTATAATTGAAACGATTGGCTATGAGCTAAGTACAGGCGCATTTGATAGCACCCAATAAGCGGCTTTGGGTATTTGTAAATCACGCCTCAAATACGAGAAAATGAACATGTGGTTCCCAGACGTTAGCCGGGCTAGCTCCTCACAACCATTTTTGCACAATTTGAGCCTGATGAATCTTGACATTGTCATCCTAGAATAGGGCTTGGGCGTCGTGACGTCATTACTGGCGTGGCGGCCATGTTGACAGCTTCGCGCATGTAAACATACAGCAAGTCGAACGAGGAGAAGCAGCAGAGTTGGGATAAAGAAAAGAAAAAAGATGTTAAAATCCCTAAAAGGATGTGGAATTTACCGGAATATGTTAAATGGGGAAGCCAGAGACCAGTATGTGGACAACACCGGCACTTTTAACGGTTTGGATCCATTTAAAATTTCCAACAAAGAGTCGGCAAACAGCGGGAACACAGTAATCCGGACAAAGGTAACGTTAAGATGCGCTCCACCTAGCTGCTAGTTTAGTAACTGTTAGTGCTAACAATCATTCACACATGTACATTTAAAGGAACACTCCGACTTTTTGGGACTTTAGCCTATTCACCTTATCCCCCAGAGTTAGATAAGTCCATACATACCTTTTTCATCTCCGTGCGTGCTATAAGTCTGTTTGACGCACCCACCGCTAGCCTAGCTTAGCACAAAGACTGGATGTAAATGGTTGCAGCTAGCATACTAATCCAAATAAGTGACAAAATAACGCAAACATTTTCCTATTTACATGTTGTGATTTGTATAGTCACAGAGTGTACAAAAAACAAAGTCACATGAGACACAGACATATTTTAACCGTATAAATACTGGGAACTATATTCTCTGAAGGCGAAGCACTGCTACTTGGGCGGAGTGATAACCGCAGCACCTGAGACGCGCTCTCTGCTCCTCACCACGGCGAGTCTCAGGTGCTGCGGTTATCACTCCGCCCAAGTAGCAGTGCTTCGCCTTCAGAGAATATAGTTGGAGCACAATCTCTGTCTCGCATGCACGCTCGCTCTAGATAACGGGAGATTTTTAACGAATTTGCGGTATAACTAGTCGATCACGAGTGGCTCAACAGGTAGATATATAGATAAACTCATCTTCCAGGCATTTGACCGACCGGGTTGACACTTCAGCGTGAGAAATCGGGAGTGTGGCGTGTGAGCGTGTGAAACCAATCAAATGCGGGTGTCTCACGGCCAATGCGTGGGAGTTGGCAGCTATGCCTTCAATCGGACCTGTCAGTCTCTGTACTGTTGTCCTGTTGCTACCCCCTTGCTTTAAGCATCGTTTAGCTTACTAACTTAAGTTTTGCTTAAAACAGCTACTAACTACACTTTTGAAACACATAGTTAAAAGTACGTTACATGTGTGTATGGTTGTTAGCACTATAACCGTTACTAAACTAGCAGCTAGGTGGGGTGCAGTTTACCTTTGTCCGGATTAAGTTACTGTGCTCCCACTGTTTGTTGGAAATTCCAAATGGATCCAAACTGTTAAAAGTGCCGGTTTTGTCCACATACCGGTCGGTCCCTGGTTTCCCTATTAAATGTATGCCGGTAAATTCAGGATCCTTTTAGGGATTTTAACATATTTTTAACTTACTTTCTCCCAACTCTGCTGCTTCTCCTTGTTCGACTTGCTGTATGTTTACATGCGCGAAGCTGTCAACATGGCCGCCACGCCAGTAATGACGTCACGACGCCCAAGCCCTATATGGCCATGATGTGTCTTCCTACATGATTGTTTAAGAAATGAAAAGCTACACACTCCATCAATTAGGGTTAGAAGAACTGTTGCCAAACATATAACAGGCTAGAAACAAAATAATCACTGCAATACTGATCCAATCATAGACTCCTAAGCATTTGCCTATTTAAAGCGTATTTTCTTTGGCTGTGCAAGTGTATATGTGACGGAGTAGTACAGATTTCAGACACCAAGAATTTCGACTACGCCACCCATGGGAATTTCACCCCGGGAAATATGAATGAAACCTAAGAATTTAGGTCACACAGGTTCGATTCCCTTAAGAAGGTAGGCAGAAACGTGGGTATCATGAAGAAATACAAAATTTTATTAATACAAAGTCCTATTTAAAAAGAGAATGAAATTCACATTAAAATAACCTCAGTTGCACTAGGATGTGTCTGATGACTCGTTAGTGCATGGCTGACATAGGTTTCAAGACAAACAAAAAACAACAACAAGTGACATACAACAATTTACATAACTAATAATTACACAACTGACAAAAGAAATACAACCTTACAGGGCCGAGGTTCACCACGGAGAAGTGATCACAAAGCTAGTTAGTCAAAAGCACACTTGCACACACACACACCACCGTGTACTCAGATCACGCAACCAAAACACTTCAAAAGTGTTGCACGGCAACCATAGGAGGAGCACCACCACCACCACAAGAGACCCTTCACCCGTGGGACCCTGCCACTGAAAGAAAATAACAAAAACAAACTTAAAAACAGTTACAATAAATCACAATTTGATTACATCACTGTATGGTCACAGGAACAGGCAGTGAAAAAGTCATATCAAATCACAAACAATATACAGATTTTAGTACAATAAAAAAAAAGAGAAACAAATTAACTCAATTCAAATAATAGGGTAGACGAGCTTAACAGGAGCACCCGCGGGGTTATCTTCTCCTTATTTCACAAATTAGTGAATGTCAACCCCAAAATACACTAAACTATAATTTAAAGAAACCAAACAGCGACAATCCCCCTGATTAATTGGACGATACAGCGTTCTCGCAGTATGGCAGCAGAGAAGCGAACGGGACTTCAACTATGGCAGAAACAAATCGCTCACGAGCGAGAGAGAGAATCCTAAGACAAATACACACAGAAAACAATACGAGGCTGAATCCAGCTTCTTATTCGCAGCTTCTTATTGACGCTATCCGTTCCACCTTAAATGACGCGAACTTCCGCGTTTGCTGGCTTCTTATTGACGCTCAACTTAGGGACCGTGCGGTTTTCTCTTTTTCGCGTTTTTAAAGGGATTGTGTTACTTTTGGGTCTATATTCCGAATAAAATGATAATAAAAAATGTTTAAAAGCAAATAACACTGATATATCAGCGAAAATGGACTGTACAAATATTAAAGCACATAAATATAATTAGACTACATTATTCTTTAATTATTGTATGTCATCAGCTCAATTTAGGGACCGTGTGGTTTTTCACTTATTCACACTTATTAGAGACCCTGTTTGTATTGTTTATATTTTTCAGAAAAGAATAATAAAGTATTTTGAAAGGTAAATAAATAATAATAACACATAAATGTCTGTAAAAATATAATTAGGCCTACATTATTCTTTAATTATTGCAAATAACATCATTTGAATGTATTCAATACATGTTTTTTTTTATTTTATTTTTTTATTACAAATTAGAATTTCACAAGGTACTGAGATTATGCTCCAGCTTGGATCCAGCCTCTTATGAAGACTTCAGATGACCCAGCACATTTGAATAGATGAAACCTACCCTTGCAAGGACTCCAGAACATCAAACATGAATGATTATTCAATTCGCCAATTCGTGGCGCTGTTTCTCGGCCGCCTCAGAGGGTGCGTTAAATTTGACATTGTCCCATTAGACTAGAGCTCCTACTCTGACGAAATCCACATTTTGAGCAGTTTTTACTGTAGAATTTTTTTTAATGAATTTTTGAATTTTGCACTTTAGACAGTGCACAATAAGCTGCCTAATGCATTTTCTGCCCAATCTGCGGCGCTGTTTCTCGGCTGCCTCAGAGGGTGCGTTAAATTTGACATTGTCCCATTAGACTAGAGCTCCTACTCTGACGAAATCCACATTTTGAGCAGTTTTTACTGTAGCATTTTTTTTTTTATGAATTTTTGAATTTTGCACTTAAGACAGTGCACAATAAGCTGCCTAATGCATTTTCTGCCCATTTCGTGGCGCTGTTTCTCGGCTGCCTCAGAGGGTGCGTTAAATTTGACAAAGTCCCAATAGAGTAGAGCTACTACTCTAACGAAATCCAAATTTTGAGCAGTTTTTACTGTAGAATTTTATTTTAATGAATTTTTGAATTTTGCTT